CTACACATCGACCTCCAAAGCATTGCGGCTTTCACACACCGCTTCGCTGCCTTGCAGGTCAGGCTTCAGTTAGCTGAGGGCTCCTGTTGTGAATTTCCCAAAAAAACTAATATCTTTCTCTGGATAACCTGGCAGTATTCTGCCCAGCTGCAACTCGTAGAACGTTTTGTTATAGCATTTTTGTACCGCAATTAGCTTGCACACAGCCTCGATCCGTAAGTATATTTTATCTTATATTTCACACCGGTCTGAGGCCAGACTGTGTGCCAAAAAAATCATGATACAATAATCTTCATAAAAAGAAAAACGTTCCATTAGTGGCTTGTGGGCTGAATACTGCCAGGTTGCCCGGGCCAAAGCAGGTGAATTTTCCTAGAGGAATCCACAACCGGAGCCTTCAGTTACCCAAAGTCTGGCCCGCAAGGCAGCGGGACGGTGTGTAAAAACCGCAGTTCATTGGTAGCCGATGTCCAATTCATCGGATCATACGCCCTTCGGACGGGGTCAGACGTCCAAGATACCCAATACACCTCAATGCCCCATTGATCCGGTTACGAGTGTCACAACCGGAAAGATGTGGGTGTGTTTCTTACACCTTCTCTTGGTTGGTTTGGAATCCGGATTTTTGGCCAACTCCACTAGGTGAACTGCTAAATATTGTGCTATCGTAATTATATAGCAGAAGACTTAATGGGAAATAACGGTCCTACCTACTGATGTATAAGAAAACGTTGAACTCGGCAAACAATGATGCGCTATGGTTCTGTGTTCATGTTCGAACTGCGCACATACTAATCATGACCCCGTTGGCAAAGTTCGTGTTTCAATACGTGCACTATTTTCTATCGAACCACATGCACTACATTACGTCAATGGAATGCGGTCAAACTGCACCGCGCCAGTGGTGGTTCCAAGCTGACACATTCCTCAGCTTCCCATCCGACACGCTGATATTGACAGGGATGTTTTCAATGATTTTTTTCACATGCATGTATTTTATTATATACAAGGAAGATTTGTTTGACGGAAAAACTCATACTGAAGAACACTACAGGTTCAAAATTTCAACACGGCTCGGTCAGCATATCTATATAAATCAACAGTAAGTCCCTCTATCTTACCTAACTTTTAGTTACCACAGTTTTCATTAAAATTAAACAAAGAATCCCACACTCGAATCTCCTTATACCACAATGTCTAATCGATATCGTTTTCATATCACTGTATCAACTGACTAAATACTGTGAATCCACCATTGTGAGTGCATTAATTGTAGCAACAGATGAATTGGCTTGAAGCATTTTCACAACTGCATTTGCACTGACTCCAATCGATAGTTCTGGTTAGTATTGGTGGAAGCTGATTGGTACAGTGCCAATATGCAGACGATCCGGTGAGTAAAACCAGAATGGGGCGCGGTGAATGGATTCTCTGTGGATATGCAAAAATGAAGATCACAAACAAGGAGCCGACATTGACATGGCCCGAAAGTGGAGTATAATTACTGCAAGCAGGATGGGATGCAACACATCTGTACGGACATCCATGCGTTTTGCCATGATCCTTCGACCTAGTTCAAGTATAAAACTCTAATCGATTTCAACCAGCCCCCTCAAACATTACCTGCTTTTTAACCATACACATATATTTGACAATAACTAGTGTATAAACGACTGGAAAAAATTTCCCTAGAAGCACACGACCGGTTTCGCGGTTATTGCCGATCGTCAAGCATGCTTCCAGGGAGATTTTGTTCAATCATTCATAAGCTACTTACCGTCAATATTCAATAAAGACGTTTAAGTCGCGTTTGTTGCGGTTAGTAGCATCTAACTCAACTACAAATCATCGAAACATGGTGTTGTTTCTCCAATGGATTGTCTCTGAAAGAGCTGTCCAAACACATTATCCAGGTGTTGCAAATTACATATGTTAAGTCAAATTTTTATAGTGATAAAATACACGCTATATTTGATCAGAATGACACCATTGTGCTCACCCTCCTCCGTCGCCGTTCCACCTCATTTTGGTCAACCAAAATGGTCGGATTTTAAAATCGCCACAAAAAGGACGAGTTCCATCTAGATATAAGTACACGACGCTTGGAGGATTTGGTGTTTCGAAGACATAACTTATCACCTGCGGGTCAGATCGATTTAGCCTTCCGAACCGACTGGCACACTGAACACAAGCAAAGATGCATGTGCATGTGCGCGCGCATATGCAAAGATAGACAGACGCGCACTAGCTAAACGGCACTGCTAGCCTACAAACCGACGTAAATATCCACACAAACACTCACGCCGACCCGTCCGACGTCGTCACCTTACACGATCAATGGCACAAGGGTCACATTTGAGCGGATGTCCGTCCCGGTCAGAGTCGGAAAGATTGCCGAACACACGACAAACGCGTTTTAAATCATTTAGAAAAAGAATAAACGACAAAAAAAGAGCCTGAAGTGAACGAATTGTTAAAAAACTGAAGAGCACGGCGCGGCATACAAAGTAGCATCAAAGAAGTGAAGCTTCTTCGTCTGCATCACTGTTAACCAAGCATCCATCGCAATAGATGAAAGCAAATGTGTGCTTT